ATATCGTTGCGTTTTCGTTTAGGTGGAACGATATCGTTGCGTTTTCGTTAAGTCGATCGATTCCGTTGCGTTTTCATTTGTTAAATCAATATCGTTGCGTTTTCGTTAAGTCGATCGATTCCGTTGCGCTTTTGTTCGGTATTGCGCAGTCTGCGGTTTGGTTATATTTTGGTTTCTGTAACCAATCATCAAATGCATTCATCGATTACTTTTAAGACTTCATCTCCCAACACTTGAGATAATCAAATTCAACTAAGTCATGTTGAAGGGCTAGAGCTGCTTTGGAATGATCTCGATAGCACATTTGACAAAACACCAAGTCTTTTTAGATAGAGGAACGAAATGAACACAGAAACGGCTAGTTTGTTTAAAAAAGCGAACGACCATCGCCCTATACTACACGATCTAGTCTATCTAATACTGTAAGTACTTTCGTTTGTTGTATGTTTTGTTTTGCATCTCTTTTTATGTATACACTTCAATCATTTCAAGGAATATTTACAATATCGCAGCAAAACGGTAATTTATCTTTTTGCAGTCGGTTTACTAACTTACTTCTAATAGGAAATTAAGAGTTTCACTAAACAAAACGGACAGACAAATGCTTCGTCAATCCAAACAGTGTTGTCAAAAAATATCCTCAATACTGTCACGGTGCTATTGACACAAAGACAAGAGCCTAGAGAATTGGGCTTAAGGTAACTTAAATATATGTAAGCTTTCTAATATATCCAGAAAATTGAAGTGATAAAAGGTTTAGTGGTGAGGTACAGTCCGCTAAGTTCTTATTATCTAGTGTTACAGAAAGTCGACACTTTACTGACTTCAATACATACAGAACTAGACATATACAATAGAATACGGACCAATATAGCCTACGTCATGTAGCACACAAGTGCAATATAGATGTACTACTGTTTACACGAGTATGTCATACGTATATGCAATAAGTTCGATTGAAACGTTTTCTGTTCTTTGGTTGAATAATTCTCTGCAATCCGATGTGATATTTTATCCTTTATTTTTTATATATTCATATATCGCGAATGCGGTTTGTCAGTCTGTACACTATTTCTTATTGTAACGTAATGTGAAATGTCGAACAATGAATAACAACTTTTGCGCAATTGTACACACATCCAGTATATGGTGGGTATACTCTTCAATGTAATTATTTCGCACTAAACGTAAAGGAACTGAAAGAAAGACTAGTAATTTATGACCAGGACACATTGAATGAATAAATTCATGAGACGATTTAACAATATGGCCATCAGGAAGGGTGTACCACAACCACATGACACAGAAACTCGTCGTTGGATATGTTGACAGCGTTAAGTATCAAATGAGAAAAAAAATGAAATAACGTTTTCTGTATTAACTAGTTTTTTTCCATTTGCTGCTCATGTTTCTAATTTACTCAAACATGTATTTCATTCAGCCGTCACTTTAGCTCTCGATTACTCGTTTATTCATTTGTCTTCAATTTGTTCGATGATTTGATTCAAGTTACTTAAAACTACCGTCTGTCTGGCGGCTCACAGTGGATACTAGTCCTGTCGTGTTTATCGCCTGGAAACGGGTGGCAATAGAGGCGTTAAAGCACTCATTTTGCACAAGAAGAATCACTTTTGTTTGCAAACGTACAATTATTGAAAGCGATAATCATTTTATGAAGAGTTAACAAAGAACACCGACAGCTTTGGGGAACATCGTGGGAACTTCAATCGACATCAATATAGCAGAATTTAGATGGCAACAATCAAGACCCATTTTCTTTCCCTAAAAGAATATCAGTATTATTCTAATATTGGCGAGGTACCTAAGAACGGAAGTTATTTTCGTATTTGTACTTTCACAACACAAATCCATTTAAACTTACTAAGTATAGCGAGCTACCAATTTACTAGATGCCTAAAGCAAATTAGAGCGTTTGATCACATAACATTCCATCTTAATATACTAATCAAAAATTCCATTTGCCCTTAGCGTGAGTCAATTATTTTTAGCGCTGGTATCTTCTTTTCAATCTATTTGTTGACTAGTGAACAACAAGCGTATAGTTTCATTAGGTATATTAGAGTTGAGCGGAAAGATAACAAAGCTATACGTAGCGGCTTCCGATAAAGCTACTATATAGACTAAGTTTTAATGAGCCATCCAGTGGCGTTCATTTGCTTCTAGAATCATTGGTCATTAAACATGTGTACAGAAACTACAGCACGAGGTAAGATATGGCATCGTGCAAATACGGCGGCGGCTTGACATCAGTGTGTTTTTCCTTTCTAGGATATTTTAGACGAAATATACATATCTTTGATCAACTATATCCCTTGCTATCTCAGTCAAACAGTATAAACCACACCACGCCCTATATGTAGGTGACATTCATTGTAACATCGTTCGACTGGTTTGTACTGGATTTGAATAATCATAGGTTTTTAGCTAATCCTTTGATGGTATCTGACTTTAGATTAGTCTGATAAGAAAGTGTAGCAGCGCTTTAGCAGTCACCTGCAATGCTTCCCTTTTATAGACACATATATGTAGTCGGACCTAAAACATGGGACATACGATTATCAAATAGTAAATAATGGAACTCTTTTTTATACATTTTTAGGTCGCCAGTCAGTCTCTCTTTATTTTTTATTTTCATGACGGGCTGTAAAATCTAACTGTCTCCATAACCGACAGAASTCCTCCATAGCCTCAGGTCAGAGATAATAATGATCATAAGCTTGAGACAAGTTCATTCCATGCCTTTCCTATCTTATTAGTTTTTGCGCATTTTTGGTTTTCCGATTGACTTATAATTTTTCGTTTTTACTAAATTATTATTAATTGAAGTTGTTAATCAATCATGTTCATGACAATACAGTGTATTCTTATTATAATACTATAATTAAAAGTTAATCAGATGATTAAAGCTGATAAAGAAAACCTTCCATGTCCATCCCTTGTTTGTGATTGAACACAAAAAGTCCATAGTGTTTACCCATTAATTAAATCATTCTTCCGTTCCATTGAAGTTTCCTTGTAGTTAGTAAATATACAGTACATAGTATGATCACTCCGTCACTGCAATTAATAAAACTAGCCTTAAAGTCAAATGAAATAAGATTCTCCTCGTTATCTACCATTTGACAGATACATGTTGACAGAAAGTTCTGTCTTTCAGTTGGGGATTCATTTATCAAAGCAGCTGTTGATAGAGAACAATTACATGGAATTTCGTTCTGAAAAAAACAATTTCGACTAGTTTTATACGTGTAGTACTGTGTGATGTACAGATGGAAGCAGCTTTCAGTTCTGACTGTAAGTATTCATGAATGTTTCTTTATTCAAGGCTAAGCGGCAATATTAGAAATGACAGACGACAATTTCGTGATATTTTAAGAGCGATTTGTTATCAGGACTGTGAAAGTAATAGAAGCTCTTGTACAATAGTCACTTTATCTTCAGAGGTTTGAACACTGATCGACACATCAATCAAGATCTGAAAAACTGAAATCTAGTCGATTTTGCTGTTATAGTTTGGTTTTCTCGCTTAACTGTTATAAATCCACATTTTTGCAGTGAGATTAACAAAATCTGAGCTTCAAAATCGGTCTCACTTTTAAGATAACGATAGACAATTCTTTCATTAACGAAGAAGCAATAACACATCAAGCCCTGATTAGTCATTCTATTCTAAAAATAGCACTCTCCACCTGTCACGACCACGTGACTTCAATGCAAGACTAATAGTCACTTGTTCAAAAATTAACATATTATTGAGTAGTAAGGGGGAGTAGTAAGGGTGTAGTATTGAGTAGTAAAGAAGGGTGTAAACAGACCAAGTTCTAAATCAAATGGGAGGGGTGGGTTAGTACAGCAGTGATGTGCGCGAGACTATGCATCTTGTTTATCATGACCTTTCATTGAACATATTTAAACATACCGTGGCAACGGTGCATAGGGTTCAAGAATCTCTCAGTAGGTGATTAATATTTTATCACTATCCGCACACAAATGAGTCCAATCGATTTGTTTTGCCAGGAATAAGAAATCCTGGCGTGAATAGACTATCAAAACGTGTTTAGCTTTTTGCTTGTTGTTTGCGAGCTGTCAATAAAAGGCGTGTTGGGCAAACAGCATCAATTCATTATGAGATGCGTTCTAATTGGTTCAAGAGCTTAAACGCGGTAAATATTCACTATAATAAACCCTAATACAATAGCCTGAAGTAAATAGCCTTCTACGCAAGAAAATCAAGATAGAATGGATAAACGTGTCTATCGACGAAATATAGCAATTGGACATGCAAGCATACATCCAAACATCGCTAGCTTAACTTCGTGCATTTTAACATGATGTAGTGAACTGATAAAACACGGAAATCATCCCCTTTATTGCTTACATAAAAACTATGGATATTGCAGCACTCTATCATAGCAGTTAGCGTCGAATTCATTTTTTTCAGTTTTCGGCCCATTTTATCATACATCTAAGAGGCGTCAAGTGTCGGCAAGTGACGTCGAAAGATTTTGTGATTAAGCCATCCCCCGCCAACGCAGTACCGTGATTTCAATCTACTAAAATAAATGAACACAAGAAACTGATATTTGTTTATTCAAGAGAAATACCGCCTTTGAAAGCCTAGCATTTGAGAAATAGAAATTCTTATCAAATCCGTGACCTTGCAACCAATGCCAGTTTTGTCCACTTGAAAATCAAAGAGTTTTTTCCACAGATAAGCGAGGAGATAAGACAACACTTGTAGAATAGTTAATGCGTTCACATAGCAATTACTGTCTGAAGTGCGCAAGGATAATATGTTTTGCTCTGTTTCAGGGAAAACAAGATTTTAGCCTGAAGTTATATAACGTGGGCATTTCACGTGTTCACCACAAAAATAACAGTACTCTACGTCCTTAAAGAGCAACTGACAGACCTTCAAATTAACAAGCGGCTTCAAAGTTCAAGGAACACTGACGTTGGAGTAAAATATAATCTCGAGCTGTTTGAGCCGTTATTCTCCTCATCAGAAACCAGAAAAGTACCATGTCAAGTGATCAAGCGTATACAGACGGGGAAGCTCAGAACGCTAGTGGCGATGTTACATCACAGTATGGGGGATTCCAAGCAGAAATAGACATTCCTCTAGTCTCCATAGCTTTTTTGATAGTCGTTGTTAATGGGTACATCACCTTACTGATATCAAGACGTAGAGATCTTCGCACGCCCAGTAACATGATCCTAGCAAGTCTCACAGTATCAGATGGTCTGACAGGACTAATATCTGTACCATTACTGCTGATATGTCTGTCTACAGCATCCAACGAGACTTGTATGGCCAGTGCCATGTTTATTCGCTTTATTTCTATTCTTAGTGCAGTGCATATACTTCTTCTAACTCTAGACAGATATGTCTTTATTGTACACCCTCACAAGTACTACGATATCGTACGTAAAGGTCGTGTTTTACTGGTCATACTAGCAGTTTGGTTGATGGGCATCCTTGTTACTGTTATCAGACTGGATTGGGCTATCAATGTTTATGTCTTTGACGAAAGTCTCGACCAAGAGAAAGAAATCGACCGTAAAGAAAGAATCTTCAACTGGTTCTGTTTGTCAGCGTTCTTCATTATACCTCTTTTCATAACTATTACACTAGATGCACAATTACTCTTCGTGTTACGTCATCAAGTACGTAAGATCCTACAGAATAACTTGATCCATGCCCGACAAGAACAGAGCATGCGCACCAAGAAACGTGAACGTCGCGCAGTTCTTGTTTACGTGGTTGTCGTGGTTACATTTATAATCTGTTGGTTGCCATATTTTATCCTTGATCTATGGCAACAATGGGCAAAATTATCAGCCGCTGTCGTGTACCTGATAATGTTTATCAGGGTAGTCACATCGTTAAGCAATCCAATCATGTATACACTCAGCCATAGGACACTAAGAAGAGCTGTCGTTGTTTCACTACGAAAAACATTCGGCCACAAAAAGCATGGCCGACCTCGAGCAATGAGCTACCAAAGTGGACAAAGTGGACAGTCAGGTTTGACGGCCCAGCTAACTAAGACAGAAACTACACAGATGTAATGGACACACAGACACATGTAGACTTACTTGATGGGCACAAAAATGACAGAACAATTAGGAGAATTCTGGTTAATTTGATGGAAGATGGTTGCTAATTAATAAATAGGTAGGGTGCAATTTATTTAACGGGAATGCAAATAGTGTCGTTATACTGGTCTTGGTTTCATTAGATAAAGCCACGTGTTGTCAAGTGTTTATTTGTGTGTATACGTTTTGTTTTGCTGTAATCAAGATCAACATGCGATCAAAAAGATTTTAAACGTCAAAAAATTTGTAATTTCATCTGAAGAACTATAAATACAGAAATAAAAAAAATCGGATGATAATAATAATCTTTATTGAGGTACTTGATACAACTGATTTGGTTTGTAAATAAGATATCTTATGCGATTTAACAGAGAAGCAATAAAGTACAAGTTGATTCAAAAATATAGTTGTTACTGAATCTATGACCAAACTCTCCTCTCCAGAGACTCTACTCCTTAGGGAATTTCCTCCTCGACTGCTGGGAACCGAAGTAAGGGAGCGTTCATCAAACTATATTTATTTAGTAATGTTGTTGCAATGAATCTTGAAGACGTGTGCCATGATTATAACAGTGATCATATCTATGTTTTTTTATCTTTTTGTTGTTGTTTGGTACGTTATCGTATGAATCAATACATCTAACATTTTATAATAAACAACATTGTGGTTATTTCTACCATGTATGACGTCAAAATTGTTTTTTACGTCATATAGAATAACATCAATGACGTTATTATAACGTCTCAGATAAGAACAAGACTCCTCCGCAAGAGGCCGGGTTTTTTTTACCATTGAACGCTGATATAACGCTGATATAACGGAGCATATCAAACAATTGCATACGTGCATAACATACGTGCGATCTACCTGCTTTTTTTTTGGTTTTTCTTTTTTTTTTTTGTGGGCTCCCTTATTTTCAAGGATGGGAGGGGACTAGGACAAATTATACAATAGCCTACATGTTGAAAAGCAATTTCGTTGCAAATTCTGTAAGTTTGAACCATTTTAAAGCACTAAAAAGTGAAAAAAAAAAAAACTTGAAAAAAACTATCTAACATACTTCCTTATAAGGTAAGGTTACCATATATGGTCAGCAAAAGTTTGGAAAACGAATTTTTCTCCGAAGCAATTGTTTGATATGTTATAGAATTGAAGTATCAATCATTATAGAGGTCTCATTGTTATGATTTGTTCATAGAGTTGTTGTTGATGTTGTTGTTGTTTACGGTCACGGAGTTTTGTTGGTCCGTTACCCTTGTTTCTCGTTTACATAACCTGACTATAGAAGATCTGAGTTCCCGGCTTCGCCAGCAATAAATCACGGGATTTAGCAGTGAATTCAAAAACACAAGAAAGTCGGTCCACGGAAGAATATAGTAATGAAATAATACATCTTGATGAGTTAGAATGATGTTTGTAATGACAATGACAATTAACGGCAAGTAACACAGGAAGACCGCACCGACAACAAAGGCAGTGGATTTTGCTATCTTAGCTTCACGAGCCGTGTATCTCATCCATTTCCTTGTGTGACAAACTTCATTTTGAGGCGAGCACGTATTTAAACTTATCTGCCTATGGTGCCACCTGGCTAGTTTGAAGATCTTGACATGGACGACAGCGATCATTATGATACATATCAGTATCATAGGTGAAGTTATAGCATAAAAGTAGTTGGTTGGTAGTCCAGCAAACCTCGACAATACGAACACCACCCATATACCGGCCAATAGAAGGACTGTCGTTATCAACCTGTTCACTGTTACATGTTCTTTATACTTGAAGGGATGAAACAACGCAAAATATCGTTCAGCCGATATGACAGCAATTGCTTGAAACGATAGTCCTACAGATATATTCCAAAGTGCACGATAAGTTAAAGACAGCCAACATAAGTACTGGTTTTGTGACTCAAGCAGTCGACGTGTAATGTATAACGGTTCAGCAAAACAAGCCACAATGAAGTCATTAAATGATAAAAACAGCAGTAAAAGATTGGAGTAGATTTGAAGGTCTTTGTTGAGTAGAATAGCCAGGCAAACAAGTCCATTTGCCACAGCACCACACATTGATAAAACGAAAGTCAAGAAGCATGTTGTAACGGTAGTGATGTAGATCGTTGGATTGGGCTTCTCGATATGATACAGAGAGTACAGACACGGTAAATAAGATGCATTCCCAGCCATTACAACAACACGAGCTATCAGTTGCTGACTTATAAATTACTTCACACAAAATTCAAGGCTTTCTTCCAAATTTCATTGCACATTCAATGCCCATGATATTTAAACCAATGTACAGTGGTATTTTTCTCGAATAGTAATTTCAATATTCTGTGGGCTTTCAACATTCAGCAAAGATTCATATTGTTAATTTGATTTGACAATTGCAAATACCCCCAGTCCCTAGAGAGTCGGAAGGTAGGACTGTACAATGAAGACTTGTTGAAGAGTTTAAAGATTGAACGACGTGCTTACTTTGCGGTTGAGAAGCTAAGCACTATCAGAGGAAGAATGTCAGTTGTCAGTCCAAATCAAGATTCCAGTCCGGCTTCTTATCTTGAAAGCACGCTGCGAAGGCCATTCAATCCATTAGAGGAGGAAGTATGAGATAATGTCATAACTTGAGTTATATTTGAAGACATCCAGTCACCCACTGTGTTACAGTTTCGTTTTGCATTCATTCTGTGCCCTTTTACATGAAACAATAATAAACATCCGATGTGACGAGCAGCTGATTCATGTGATATCTCTATAATTACAAATACTTCAATTGTGAAGAATACTTTGATGAAACTGAGAAAATTAAAAAAAGCTATTTCTTTAGCTCATTTATCGTTTTTGTTACGAGAAGATGCAGGTTTTTATAGTCACTCGAGATTGCCAAGATCTATGTTCCTATTTTGGTCTGAAGCGAAGCATTATCCCTTTCTCACATGTAACTTTCGTTTTGTTTTAAGTTCAAGTTAACACCTGCAATAGATATAGTAATATTGAAAATGAAATTGAAATTGCGTTATAATAAAATGAATTGGAAAACGGAATATAAAGACATCAAAAATGTTAAGAATAAAAAAGCGATATTTAAGAACCAGTATATTTCATAATTCATCGTCGTCACAGCTACAGTGATGTAACGAACTAGACGTCTCACACCTCTCTCGTATCCATTTACTCTTTAATATGTGAAAAAACCTCCCAGTTTTCTAAATCAATATAAGCCAAAAAGATCATCATGAAACTTAGGATGAAAACATTCAATACAGTGTTTTAGCAGCCTCAGTCATTTCTTTTTGTTTTATTTGCACAAGTAACGCAAGTTAATATCGATGACTCATTCTTGTCAAGTGATTGACAATTGTCTTTTGGTTCAAGTTGATTAAGAATTCAGTGAATTCTGTCAATCACATCCACAATATTATCAAGCAAGGTGTTCAAGAACAGTTCTTGATTTCCATTGAGTGACAGTCCTCCAGCTAAATTTAGCCAAACATTTAAACACAATAGCAGTATTATAATAAGTTGTTGTTCTCAGGGATAAAACAGTACACAAACACTAAAAACAACCAAAACTTACAGTCTTGAAATTAAGGACAAGGAATAAAAGATGACTATGTACACATCAATAAGCAGAAGGAAACCGAAAAAAGTCAATTCTATAAAAACAAATATATGTGCAATCCAAAATGCTTGAATAAACACCAAAATACCAATTGAAAATAACAATCAATTCTTTTAAAATTAAAAATGTAAATCTTTTTGATATATATTATAACAGCCAGCAGGCAACTGAAAAAGTAGTAAGCTTTCTACCAGCATCCAACTTTCTTTACTTCCCAACATAAATGGTCGTTAACAAGCTGTCTTAGAAAACATTTCAATAGTTTTCTTAGTATACCACTTCGACCTCAGATCGTTAACAAGAGGTGGTCGGTATTAGATATCATTTCAATAGTTTTCTCAGTACACCACTTCGACCTCAGATCGTTAACAAGAGGTGGTCGGTATTAGATGTCATTTCATTAGTTTTTCTCAGTACACCACTTCGACCTCAGTTCGTTAACAAGAGGTGGTCATATATACGATTCTCTGGTCTCCAACAAGGGTTGGTCAAAAAGGACAGCCATTGGTCCAAGTTCCACATCAGGTGTAATCCTCACGTGATTCTCACTAGCCAATCACAATCCCTCAAATAGTACTTCTCAGTAGTATATGACGAAATATTTTTCCCTCTAATATTAAGTCATTTAAACATCTTTGGGCACGAAAAATCAGCTTCCATAGACAAACCAAACTTTGTAAATTTTCAAAGATCCATAATTCAGGCATAAATACTGAAATAACGTACCATACCACAGGCATTCCATCACTGCAAGGCGCCATATTTCATCATTGTCTTACGTATTGACTTGATTACGATGTACGGGTCGACGTTGACATTGTGAGTCTGAAACAGGAATAGTTCGATGATTGGCTAGTTTGAACATAAACACAAAACCTACAGAAATACTTACCCCAAAAATATCAAATGAACTTATATCAGAACGAGGTCTAAAATGAAATGACAGAAGAATTTAGTTAGCCCTTATTACTGATGCCTGCTTCTGACAATCAACATGCCGCCATCTTTCGAAAGAAGATTTAATGGTGGATCTTTTTAAATGGTTTGTTCTATCTTCAGTCGACAGAAGAGAAGAAAAGTACTTCCCAAAGATTTTCGCCTTTCTTTGATTGTTCTTTTGTATTATTCATACGATCTATATGAGGCCGAAATAGATATCTATGTCTGCTTATTGAGTGGCTCCGATCCGTCGTGGTATTAACTCCTCCCGTAAAAGTCATTCATTATCGATATGAGCAACTGGTAATCGTAACGACAACCTGGTTGGTACTTACGAAGCTTGCGATCCTCTGTACACAAGTTGAATCATCATCGGTAAATCACTGTTACTTGGGTTCACCACCTGTCACAAATAATGGATGATGATTGACACATGTCACACAGTAGGTAAATCATACATTCAATCATATAACTAACCATTTTAGGGAAAACCATTCCCATACTTGTAGCGAAAAGATTCATGTCATCAATATAAGCTGCAATGAAACAATTAAATCAGAACTGTGAACAAAGGGGGCGGTGGCTACACAACCTTGCATAACTTGCTGTCATGTGCGGAGGGTTTAATTACACATGTTATATACATATGATGTGTGATTGACTACACGTTTACACGACTTTATGTGTTTATATTGTGCATTTTATCGATTTGTGCAAGGCTATATATTACACAGTGTTTCGCCAATGTTCTTATGCATGTCTTACGGACGACATCAAGACAGGTCGTATTTACAAATAGACCCCAGTAAAGACTAACAAAGTTTCAGAGCGAACTTCTGTGCGAACTGTTTATTTGAGTGCGCGTGTTACTTTCACTGGCCGGGGTTCAGTGGTCTATTAAACGGTACTCACCTCTCATTGTATAAAATAACAGGCTAAAGAGATCTTCACTGGGTTTTTTGCTTATCAACATCACTTCATGGGATCCTGATGGTGTCTACAATATAACATATTGAAATCAATGGTATATATTATGGTCTCGGGATCTTCGAACTTACCAAGTATGCAAAGGCCGTTGCTTCACCAAGATGAACAGCAAGACCAAACAGACTGTGAATCTACATAAAACAACGATTACTATACGACTCCCTCTACTGACCGATGAACGGTTTTTACCTTCACTAACTGTGTAAAGTAGTTAGCTCCATTATGTCCTTTTGCGTAGAGAACCGCTGACTCGTGTAAGCGGGCCCATCCAGCTGAAAATAGTTATATAACAATGACGTCATATAAGAAAATATAATCCATAATTATTTAAATATACCACAATAAATTAATAACTGATTACTTTTGATGGATGAGGGACTGAGGAAGTGTAATATCTAGTCTTATATATTGGATTCCTTGTAAGTTTATTTAAGTTAATCAAGCCACTGAAATTACCATGGAAGCCATGTCACAAAAAATCTTCAGAAAGTCATCGGATGAAAAAGGACAAATAAAGGATTAGTTTTGTTTGATTCACTCTAAACCCTTACTTGACAGAGCTATGAAGTATCGAATTCTTCATTCACAAACTAAGCCTATATTTTTCTGCTCAGGACTCCGAACCAGTAAAAATCAACATAACACCTTTTAAAATATCAACAAAAACTGTTGAATTGACTTACAGTAGTACTGTCCTGATGCTAGGGTTAGATGGACATGAGGGTGGATTTGACTTGCACTGGCTTTAGTAAGAGAATCCCAGTATATATGGGGGTACTCATAATTCTTGTCAGCCTCATAAGCCTTATTAAACCTGTATCATAAAAAAACTAGAATTGAAGATCAATGGAAAGAAGTAACGTTACCATAATTTAATAAAGCGTCATCGAAAAAGTACAATAATAAGAAGAGATTGCAAGTGGGCTGATCAGAAACGAAAAACCGCATTTATTGTAGTTGACTGTGATGGTCAAAGTTTTTTTCCGGTTACAAATGAATGATTTTAATTGAAGGTTATTTTGAACTTACCATTTCAATGCAATGTCTAAAAAGTCAACAATCTACGAAAAAATTGATACAATATTAATTTTCTGATAATGACTTTTTTACTCTAAAAAAAGGACATGCAAACAAAACAGTTCGTAACGTTTATTGCAAAATCAATGGGTATACACATACAGCAGTCCTGTATTCAACACAAGGAATGAAATAAAATCCTTCAGATGAGTTCTGCGGCACTATACATATTACTAAGATTACAATGGAAGTAGAGTTCTGATAAGGCATGAATGACGCAGATTTAAGAGTGTTTCAAGCCAAGCAAATCGTATTTAGGTCCAGCATGGGTCCTAAAGGCGCAAAACGTGAATGAAAGGTCTTTTGCATTGGAAAGCGGATTCAGAAAGTAAACCGTTAGAGAATGGTACTTCGGCACTAGAGGCAATTCTGTCTTTCYAGAGCGTCTCAGTTTGTTTCGACTTAGCCACAGTATAACCGAGAAGAACTACATACAGTACAGTTTTAAGTGTTGGGTGAGAAGGAAATGTGAGAGCTGATTGAAGTTTGTGGTATTTAAAAATGTCTCCAATTTACTGAAAGTGTGTATAACATGTAAGGCGGTCTACTGAATGCCAAAGCGAGCTGAATCCATGTTTATTGCTTGGCATCCATCAGGTGTTACATTAATCTCTATAGAGGTTTCTCATGTTGTTTCCACTGTAAAAAGTGTATTTACACTCGCATCAAATATGAATACTGATGATAAGATAAAGCCGCAAAGGTAGTTAGTGTAAGAAGGCAGGTTCATTAAAGTGAATTTACTATCTCATACACCATTCATTAACGTCAGTCTTGTCACAGCATGGCCACTGATAGTCGATATGAACCAAGTTAATCATTGTAGAAATAAACTTATTCATCCAGTGGAAACAAGACAGAAACCAAAGATGTCCTGCCATCAAACATTTGATGGGTTATTTCTGTTTTATGGCAAGTAATTAAATCATCATTGAATGGAAATCACATTTTAAGAGATAAGAAAACCGCTTATTTTGCATGTAAAGACCGGCGTAATACACTTACTGCCACGGGGAACAATATTTTTCAGTAGATTAGCTTCAAAAAACAGATTTTCGCAACACTTCATGCGGATCAGTACATATGACATAGGTATCTTTATAAGAAAAAAAAGACCAAAGCGTTCTTTATCTGTACTGAAGGTCAATGAAAGCGCATTTTGCACAGAATTCATGCTGACCATGTTATTGTTTTTGTAATTTTCGAATTTATCGATTTCACGTCGACTTTTTCTGTTTTTGTAAATAAAGCATTACGAAAAAATAAATCAATGTTCACAATAAAATATCTTATCTCGTATTAACCCTCTAGAGCACTCCTATTTTCAATAATATAAAATCATTAACGTTTGCTGCAGGTTTTATAGCATTTTATTAATGTAAATTTACTATAAAAACATTTGCTTTAAATCTCCTTTGACGACCATTAATTATTGAAATCGCTTCATCTCAGAGATTTTCAGATTTAGGCCATGGTCTAGCAATACAAGACGTCTGACTGTCCTTGGCAAAGTAACTGAGCTTACAGATTAGAGTCAGCCCACTATTACTTTGGTATATCTCACGGGTCAGTATTTACGTCACATCTCATTTGATCTTTCTACAAAACATGTGTAATTACAACAGATTCAGCCCATACTGAGTGTTCGCAAGCAAAATGGTCTCTTTTGATGTACATCTTTGATACCAGGATAATTGTGTTTGTTTTGCGAAGTTAAATATCAAACGTCTCCTCTTTGACATTCTCACACCGACCCAGACGTTGCTATGTTACATTGGTCTATATGAAAAGAACTGACCCTTACAACTTTATTATAGCTAGAGGCTGTGTGTAATTGCCTAATCTGCAAAGAAACAATTTAATTAAATATTGTTTTAGAGAGTTAATCAGCCATTAAGAAAAGACTTTCATATTCGATCACACCCAATGCGCGCGAAAGACAACAACGATAGCATCTATTTCCGCTAATAGCACCGTCGTTCACGTTCTCACCCTATGTGGGGAGTGTTTGGTTAAAACTGCCTGCCACAGACATGTCATTGGTCATATCGTTCATGACGTCACGTACTGTATATATATAGAAACAATCTTTGATGAGTAGCATTACAAGACGAAACGTCGAGTACAACGTTGAATATGGACTTTAATAATAGTTCAGCCGTCAACAGCACCACTCACGAGCCATCTTGGCATGCTTCTCCATCTGTATTCCTAGCTAATGGGATTTTTCTAGCCATTATATCACCATTAACTATCATCTTAAACACTCTTCTGTTGTTTGCTATCTACAAGGATCCTTTCAAGACGTTTCAGACACCTTCAGCGTTTTTTCTTGTGGGACTAAGCACCACGGACCTTGTTCTTGGACTAATGTTGCCGTTTCCAATGTCATGTTACTTTATAGCATATGATGGTGATTCGTCTCAAACGAATAAGTGCTTCAAAATATTGATGGATTATATCGGGATATTGGTAAATTCTTCTATCAACTCATCGTTTCTTATCGTGCTGGCATTCACAGTTGTGCAGTACCTTGCTGTGTCATGGCCATTTAGATACAAAAACCTAGTGAACATCAAGCGTACGATTTGCTGCATCGTAGCCATTTGGACTTACACCATAATATTCCAACTAACCGAGACGTTTGGAGTCCAAAAAATCATTATCAGCCAAATTGATGTGACTCTACACACTACAATAGCCTTTATCGTAATGGTAACAGTCTACATCTTGCTGCAAAGATCCTTCAAGAAGAAAATCAAAAAAGGACTGCGCTTGAGAGCCGAGACCTCGACGCAGAGCACAATGTGTACACTTGAAGGTTCTCCAAAGGCCACAGCACACAAGACAAATCCACAGAGCAACGAGATAGAAAAACGCTTTATAAGGGTGAACTTGTTTCTGATTGGATTGCTGTTTTTCTGTACACTTCCTAACTGTATAGTATATTATATATATATATACAACTCAGAAGTAGGCAAAGATCCTAAATTCTTTGTGGCAAGAATTGTTGCGGACAACGCTATGTACGTAAAAGCTTTAGTTGACCCATTGATCTTTGCTTGGAGATTGCCCAAATATCGTAAAGCACTGAGAAAATCCGTCTCTAGAAAATAAAGGGCATTTCGTGAGGATTGAGATATTCCAAGAGACTGTCGACAGATCCTAAGAAGATGTCTCCAAAAAATGCCCTTTTGACCGCCCAGAAAAAATGACAACAATTATCAAAACACAAGATTTAGTATTTTGATGAATATTTTAAGGGATTTCCAAAGATTGTACGTGTTAGACTACAAGCCAATTGACCACTTTTAAGGTGGATCAAACGTTCTAGAAGAATACGTAATGTTCATGATCTTTTGCCAGATACGTCTTCGTTGAATTATTGATTGAAAAAAAAATAACGTCTTTCATCCTTGGGATGTAATTACTTGTTCTTTTCTGAGAAGGTCAAGCRAAGCTTTTCAAGTAGATAACGTTTTATGTTACAAAATTATTATTTGAAGTGAAAAGAGTATAGTACCTTTGTATATATAAAATACATAGTATATCGCACGGGTCGTGATATTCAAAAAGCTAGAGCTGACAGTTTTATTAGTATGTTCAGCAATGTTTATCAAGTGTAATTCATGTGGGTTTCTTAGTAATCATCGTAAACTATAATCACAGTAAAGCAATAAAATGGGTCATTTTGTTCTCATTTAATCAGACATGAATGTTTTCCACAGGTTGATTTGACTCCCCTCTGGTCTCCACTCAACGGGTTTTTGATTGACTATTGTAATCACTATGCTAATCATCTGGCATTTTGTTTTCAGCTTAGAAACACTCTTTGTAATATAAATCAAAAATCCAAAAATATTTTGATCTTAAACATCCAAATGCCACTATTTGACCTGAAACATCCGTTTCAATCGGTATGTTGTTCTGGAGACTCCCGACGGAACAGTAAATCAGTTGATTTTGTCTTCTATTCTAAATTAATTTCAAGTAATTTACACGTGAAAAGAATCAACAACAAAATTAGAAATTGAAGATTGTGTACAGTGAGAGACGGACGATAATCAAATTGTGCAGCTGACCTGGAACCCTCGTACCCGAAATATGCGACTAACAGCGATGACATACGTAAAAGAGATAATTATAATGTTATAAGAAAGATACATTTTAAAAATGAAATACAATAAATGAGACCTTTCAACAACAAAATAAAATTGTAAGTGACGGATTTTTTTCATTTTTTTTTTAGTTGTTGATGTGAAGAAAAATGAATGAAATCATGAACATGGGAAGAATGAAATGGATATAAAGGAAGCTTGTGATAGCCGATTAATAGTTCTGGGTTTTTACTCAGCCAGAAAAGGACGTAATATTGACATTTGTTGAGTGGTTGTTTGAAGAAAAGAAGAAGGAATTTCCACTATTGGTCAATTGAAATGTACTTAAAACGTCATGAATTCTTGCAAAACTGTTTCATTTAACATTTCTTTCTTGTGAAGGGGAATTGCAAGCTTTGTACAAACAAACTTGACATGGCTATCAATAATCAGGCTTTTTAGCACTAAGCTGTGATCTTTCCAGGTTACTGGTATTACTACAGTGATTTTGTTTGAATCACGTTTTAAAAGATTGTTAAGTGGAGCACCGGAGGGCAGCTATCATATAATGGTCTAAATGTCTATGATCAATCTGGTACCGGAGGCTTTTTAGTGGGAAAATGGATCAAATTTTATCGAACTCACTACGATATAAAAAGAACAGTCTAGGAACCAGTCTTTTTCTGAGAATACAAGGTTATTGTCCAATCAACTAAATGTAACCAGAAGATATTGAAAATGTAAAAAAATCTTCGTCAAGCCTGAACTCATAAAAAAGCACATGGTGACGTAAAGTGTTGATTCGCTCAACTAGAACAATCAACTTTTAACTGCAAAAATATGAGAATCATTAGCACGAATGGGAAATGCGCTTGATTAACATCAGCGATGAATAGTGTATGACTATCTCTTCTTTTCGGAAAACCCATAATGTCAAAGTCTTTACATGTCGGCAGATTTCTTAAAAACAGTTTATTGTCGGCCTAGATATCTGCTAAAACCAATCAATTGCCTTTAATTAGATTGTACTGCGTCAATTTTTCTCGTTATTTTCGAAACTAAGACACTTGTCACGGAAAATAGGCTACTTCTAACTGCGTGATAGAAGACCATACTTGTAGCCCGTTATCCTTTTTGACCACTGTCCTCAGTTGTACTTTCTGGTTTTGACATAAAGATCGTATGCGATAAGCAACCTGTGTTAACAGTCTTCTCTTGTCAAAGATGAGTCAATTTACTAGCAAAATCTTATCAAATAAGGAGAGATTATACAACAGTATACCATGATAATATCCCGGCAGAAGTACATCACAGTTACTTGAAATAAAGAGCAATAAGTATAAAAAGATAGAAAAATACACCATCGAAACAGCAGTCAACTTGTTAAAGAGAAAGATTTTTTCTTTGAAGTGACTGTTGCCGAAAATGACCCTAGGGTGAGTTATCCCCTCAGGGAATGAGCATAATAAACTCGATATTCTATGCTTCGCAAAATCCTTTTTTTCTGCTGAATGCCTGCTGGCTTATAATAATAAAATTATTTAGAATACAGAAACGTGTTATTCTAACAACAAGGCGTCTTTAATTAATCCTACTCCATTATTGAGTTTATTGTATTGCTTTGGCAGAATGTTTATCTATACAGAATTAGGTATAAAACAGAAATATAGACAAACTAAAGACAGGAAGCACACATTAAAATCACCTTAACATTTGAACCGCAAAATTATTTTTCGATGGTCAAAAAGCTAATTAAAAACCATCTTATAAGCCTTTTCGAATCTTAAAAGGAATTCAAAAACGTTTCAATGGACAAAGTATGGCAAAGCGGCTTTGACATTTCCCACGTCGCCAGTGTGTCCCTTTACACAAGACTTTTAATGTTAAAATGAGCTTGCTGTGGTGACTTGACCGGCGTCTCGTCTGATTACGGTGAAGATTACATAGCCTCCAAAAGAATGCCTTTTCTCCAGATATGTTTCTGTTATTTTACAGTACAGTTCATAGACAACGTAGTCGTAGAGACTGTGAGTAGTCTACCCCATAGAAGATCGATAAGCTAATCTCATCGTCTGTAGAATTGTTAAGAGCTCCGTGCTATCAGCTAGAAAGAAATATCCATAACATGGAGATGCTCTTTTTTTCGACAGGTGTGCCCGTAGTATGGAGGTGCCCTCTTTATAAAGTAGTATAGAGGTGCTCTTGTTTTAGAAAGATGTGCCCGTAGTATGGAGGTGCCCTCTTTATAAAGTAGTATAGAGGTGCTCTTGTTTTAGAAAGGTGTGTCCGTAGTATGGAGGTGCCCTCCTTAAAGAAGTATGTCCGAGAGCCAGAGATTCTTTCCGAAATAATAACAAAGGAAGAGAGGGACGACATAAAAAATAAAAGAAAGTACTAGTTTGGCAAGTTTACTAAAGAAATGACAGTACTACAACAATTAATGTTGTATTGTACAGTGACAAGATGACTTGTTTAATTGTCAGGCGGAGTTTTACTATACTAATATTTGACAGAGTCTAGTGTTGATGCAGGATGTAAGATA